CAAACTCTCTGCTTCATATGTGCTTCTTGCTGTTCCTTGTGCTGCAGAGTGGTAGAACTTCTATGCATCAATACCCCAGTCCCTAATCTAAGAAGTAATTTTCTACTCTTTTTAATCCTATCGCAGGTAGGTAGATTGAGTATCTGCATCAAGCAACGAACATACTAAACTTCTCCTTTGTTCGAACATTCAGATTCTGGACTTAGTGAGCTCTCATGGTGCGACTGTGGTCGACAGGATTGAAGATTGCCCACAGTACTGGGTGACTAAAAAAATCATCCTCTTAGACAGCTCATACACCAAGGAGAAGGGCATGGCGCTGATGAATAGCGTGAAGATAGTATCGGTGTGTACACTTATACATACAATATATATATATATATATATATGTGTGTGTGGGGTGGGGGGGGGGTAGGTGTTGTGTGTGGGTGGTGCGTGCGGTGCGTGTCTGTGTCTTTGTCTGTGTGTGCGTACGCGAGTGTGTGAGAGAGCAAGAAGCTGTCCCATACCATGTAAATGGGTGCCTCTTCATTCACTGTTACCATTTCATATCCAGATCACCGCCCCTATCGGATGTGTTCGGGGAGCTCGGCAGGTTTGTTATTACAGTAGTACTATTTAAAATATCAAAGTCCATGATTATAGTCGTTTAGGAATATATTATTTTAAATATCAAAGTCCATGATTATAGTCGTTTAGGAATATACTATTTTAGATATCAAAGTCTATGATTATAGTCGTGTAGGAATATACTATTTTAGATATCAAAGTCTATGATTATAGTCGTTTAGGAATATACTATTTTAAATATCAAAGTCTATGATTATAGTCGTTTAGGAATATACTATTTTAAATATCAACGTCTATGATTATAGTCGTTTAGGACTATACGTGTCGATACTGTCCGGTGTGAGCTTCCATTGCACGGCTTGAAGCAGTTGGCTGATAATTCCTTTACATTCATACTCACTTCTCCTTGTAGAGAGAGAGCTAGATATTTGCTTCTCTTGGCCTGATAGTCGGGTAATGTATGACCATCACTCTTTTTGCATCAATCTGATACTATCTATACCTGTAACCTGTATACCCTCTTCTCCTTGTAGAGAGAGTGGGTGTCTGAATCCATAGACCTGGGTGAGATAGCTCCTTGGGCCCCATTCCATCTCGGGTGCAAACCCATCTTCGAACATGTAGTTGCAACAATCTGTGTGGTAAGTTTCAATAAACGTGCTCCCGCAAGCCAGATATGTGTGTTCAATCGTCCTTGAAATCCAGTGAATGTATGCCTATAGGTCTTGATGGCTACCAGTTGTATATTGATTTTGTCCTGAAAGCGCTACCAAACTGTGTGTTTGGGCCGTCCTCATCCCTATACTGTCCCCAATGGAACGGACAATCGATGTTGTAAGTGTGCTGTGGTGTAATTGGGTTGTACACAATGACAGTGTCGCATAGTTTCAGGTACTTGTCGGTATGAAAATTGCGCGCTCGCGTGCCTGCCTAATATGGGGCGGTTCTATTTTAGTTCCAAAGTTATCAGTACTTGTAGTGAGCTTTAGTGTGTGCTGCTTACACGTTCATCTCTTGGAGATATGGAGTTTTTCAGAGATTTCCGTAATTTATGTGGGTGAGAATCGATATCTACCCTGTATATGGTACCGAGCTTTGCCGAATTCCTTCTGAAGCTCCAATTAGGGCTGCAGGTGGCATAATATCCCGAAGACTAATGTGTATAGTATATACGATGTGTATATAAGTTATATATATATATATATATATATGTGTGTGTGTGTGTATGTGTATGTGTATGAGTGTCAGTATGTGTCTAC